GTTCAGGCAATTCTCCTGCCTCAGCCTCCTGAGTAGCTGGGATCACAGGTACGTGCCACCATGCCCAGCTAAATTTTTGATTTTTAGTAGAGACGGGGCTTCACCATGTTGACCAGGATGGTCTCGATCTCTTGACCTTGTGATCCACCCGCCTCGGCCTCCCAAAGTGCTGGGATTACAGGCTTAAGCCACCATGCCCGGCCGTATAAATGGTCTTTCTAAGGGGAGGAAAAAGTATAGTGGTGCTTCCCAAACTAATCTGTAATAGAACCCTCTGTAGAACACCAGGTCCATGTTCCTGAAGAGATGCTGTGTGCCCCCTAATGCCCTATTTTCAAGTATACTCCTGTGAAGTCTTTGTTTTGATTGAACTTTCTTTGGCCAATTGTTGGAGTCAGTCCTTTGCTCCATCCTCTCAGTGGGTTTGTGTCTTGATTCCCCAATCCAGTGTTTTAGCTTTCCCCTGAGATTCTTACTGTCGGCAAATCAGATCAGCCTGTGACCTGTGTCCTCATTCAATGCACAGATAAGCGCTGGGAAAAGGACAGGACCAAGGACAGAGCCATGTAGTGTGCCTCTGAAATAGGGAGAACACACACATTCATCCTGTAGAATGACTTTGATTGATTGATAGCGGCTGCCTAGGCTAGCACTTCCCAGCCTTCCTCGTGGTGAATCACCTGAGAATGCACGATGCGACTCAGGGAGTTTGGGGTGGGTCTGAGATTCTGTATTTCTCACAGACTCCCAGGTAATGCTGATGCTGCCAGTTCTGAAACTACATTTTGAGTAGCAAGGTACTAGAGCACTGCGTTGAGAAGGGATGTGAGGCTACATCTGCACTCAGTGGGAAACAGTGTTGTGATCAATTAGTAATGTCTGCCACAGGCAGAGAAATGAGCTGTGAATAATGTACCATCTTTGCCCTACAAGCCTATGTTGAAAATGATGCATTATTCAAAAAGTAGAGGGGGAAAAGTAAGGTATTTGTACCATAGTATGCTATACAAGCATGAAAATGAATGTCTTCATATTTGATAGCATAATTACTAAGCTATATATACATATATATATATATGTGTATATATATATATATATATATTTTTTTTTTTGAGATGGAGTCTTACTCTGTGACCCAGGCTGGAGTGCAGCGGTGCAATCTTGGCTCACTGCAACCTCCACCTCCTGGGTTCAGGCGATTCTCCTACCTCAGCTTCCTGAGTAGCTGGGCTTACAGGCATGCGCCACCAGGCCCAGCTAATTTTTGTATTTTTAGTAGAGATGGGTTTCACCATGTTGGTCAGGCTTGTCTTGAACTCCTGACCTGGTGATCCACCCACCTCGGCCTCCCAAAGTCCTGGGATTTCAGGATTGAACCACCGTGCCTGACTATATTATGTTTTTTAAAATGCAAGTTTGTAGAATAAACTGTACACTACACTCCCATGTGTTTAAAATAATCAATAATCATATACTCTGACAATGCCAAGATTTGATAAAGGTATAGAGAATGAGAACATTTTTACACTACTGTTAAGAACATAAATTGATGTGACTTTGGAAAACTATCTGGTATTATCACTAAAACTGAATATACTTACTCTCTATAACCCAGTAATCCTTCTCATGCACATGTGCACCAAGACACATGGATAGAAGCACTGCATGTAATAGCCCCAAGTTGAAAACTCAAATGTCCCTCAAAAGGAAAATTGACAAATTGTGGTATATTCATAATGAAATATTATGCAATAATGGAAATCACAAAACTCTAGCTATGTGTGGATGAATCTGAGAAACAAAATGTTAACTGAAAAAGACAGGACACAAAAGACAATATACTGGGCTGGGCGCAGTGGCTCACATCTGTGATCCTAGCACTGTGAGAGGCTAAGGCAGGTGGATCACTTGAGCTCAGGAGTTCGAAACCAGCCTGGCCAATTTGGTGAAACACTGTCACTACTGAAAATACAAAAATTAACCAGGTGTGGTATTCCCATAATCCCAGCTATGCAGGAGGCTGAAGCAGGAGAATTGCTTGAACCCAGGAGGCAGAGGTTGCAATGAGCTGAGATCGTGCTACTGCACTCCAGCCTGGGCAGCAGAGCAAGACTATGTTTCAAAAAATGAAAACAAAAATAAAAAAACAATACACTGTATGATTCCAGTCCATACATTTCAAAAACAGGAAAAACTACATTATTTGGGGATGTGTACACAGGTGCTAAAATTCGTTTTTTTTTTAATGCAAGGAAATAGGGCTGGGTGCAGTGGCTCACACCTGTAATACCAGCACTTTGGCAGGCTTGAGGCCAGAAGTTCAAGACTAGCCTAAGCAACATAGCAAGAAGTCACCACTACAGAAGATTAAAAAAATTAGCTGGCCGGGCACGGTGGCGCATGCCTGTAGTCCCAGCCACTCGGGAGGCTGAGGTGGGAGGATCACTTGAGCCCAGGAGTTCTGGGCTGTAGTGCGCTATGCCCATCGGGTGTCCGCACTAAGTTCGGCATCAATCTGGTGACCTCCCGGGAATGAGGGACCACTAAGTTGCCTAAGGAGGGGTGAACTGGCCCAGGTTGGAAACGGAGCAGGTCAGAACTCCTGTGCTGATCAGTAGTGGGATCGCGTCTGTGAATAGCCACTGCACTCCAGCCTGGGCAACATAGAGAGACCCCGTCTCTAAAAAATAAAAAATAAAAATTTTTTTTAAAGTTAGCTGGCTGGGTACAGTGGCTCACGCCTGTAATCCTAGCACTTTGGGAGGCCAAGGGCGGTGGATTTCCTGAGGTCAGGAGTTTGAGACCAGCCTGGCCAACATAGTGAAACCCCGTCTTTACTAAAAATACAAAAATTAGCCAGGTGTGGTGGTGGTTGCCTGTAATCCCAGCTAGTAGGGAGGCTGAGGCAGAACTGCTTAAACCCAGGAGGCAGAGGTTTCAGTGAGCCAAGATCATGCCACTGCACTCCAGCCTGGACAACAGAGCAAGACTCTGTCTCAAAAAAAAAAAAAAAAAATTAGCCGGGCATGGTGGCTCACGCCTGTAATCCTAGCACTTTGGGAGGCTAAGGTGGGTGGATCACCTGAGGTCAGGAGTTCAAGACCAGCCTGGCCAACATGGCAAAACCCCATCTTAA